GTGATTTTCAACCCTTGCTAATGGGATTCAAAAAAAAAACTCAAAGCCGAATCTACTTTAAATGTTTACAAGTAGCGCTACTCACTTGGTCATGACTGCGGCTGCTCACGAATCGCTAGCGACGCTGTCGCAAGTCGCGCGCGCGATTGTCGAGAACAATTGACCCATAACTGGCTACTGCCTGCCGTCTGCGATGATTTTCATAAAAACCTTATAAATCAATCATCTCGAGGCCGTCGTGAGCGGTGGCATAGCGATCTACCAGATGGCTGATCAGGAAAGTGTACGCGTCCATCACATGTGACATGTACGATTATCGATCAGATCGCACGCTTTTTTACCGAAGGTCGTGGTTCACTATGAAGGCGTTTCTTCTGCAGAGAACAGCTGGTGTGATCTGACTAATATAACCTATGATACTGCTCCTGACTAGTATACTTTTACCCTCACGCAACGGTAGCCATCCTATTTCGCTGCTCTACTGCGCTCCGCCCAGTGTTCGGGGGAAGTTTTGTTTACTTAGGTCTTGTGTGTGAGTTACTGCTGTGAACACAAAGTACTNCGTTTCTTCTGCAGAGAACAGCTGGTGTGATCTGACTAGTATAATCTATGATACCACTCCTGACTAGTATACATTTACTCTCACTAACGGTAGCCACCCCAGTTCGTTGCTCTACTGTGCTCCGCCCAGTGTTCGGGGGAAGTTTTGTTTACTTAGGTCTTGTGTGTGAGTTACTGCTGTGAACACAAAGTACTACACGCCCCCAACCTCCCATAGTTTTTCCAGTTATCCGCTCTTCTTTCAAGTGTTCACCTTCGAAGAGTAAGAAATGAGCGACAATAGTGAGAGATACTCTTGCCCTTCTTCTAGAGACCATTTCTTTTCTATTAGTGGGATGCGCCACGTATTCGACCCTCCTTCAAAATTGAAGACGCCTTCGTGTAGGTATATCACCATTTGTCCAAATAGGTCGATGAGGAGGGTAAACTGGTGTTTCAATCTCTCCATATCCCCTGTCGACTTCGGAAGCTTTAGCTTAATTGGCACGCGATTTACAGCAGCATTAGGTGACCTTCAATTCATCTTCACCATTTTAGTGAACAAAAGGATACAGGAAGGTTTTCAATTCAGGTTTGGAATACTTTTTCATTACACAAATTTTTTTCGAAAGGCTAGAAAAAGTTTGAGAGATAGCTTTTCTAAAGTTCAGCGTCCCTTTTAACGATTTCAAATTTAAAAAAGCTTTTTTTTTCTATGAAGCAAACTAGCGTATTAAGGTGTGTAAACTCTCGTACCCTGTGGTGCCATCTGAATTTTCAAAATTTTTTTGAAGAGCGTTGAGTGGAGACTGGAGCAGAAAGTGCTAATCCACCCGCTGTGAGGCTAGGGAGGGCAACAGAGGGTGCTAATCCTTCAGCTCTGAGGGTGAACAGGGGAGCAGAGGGAGCTAACTGATCCGACCTACTCTTGATTATCTTCCAGTACTTTAAAAGTAGATATGGTATGATATCACATTCATTTCACGGGTTGACCACTATCAGATGAAGGAGCCCATGTGTCCTAAGATTTTTTGCCTCAAATCTTGTCAGGCTAGGTACAGGTGAAAGCTTTACATTTCCAGTGCAACGGGCAACGATTTTCCAATTCAGTAGAACTTTGATAATTTCGTACCAGTTGCTGGCGAGACTATGTGGCTCGAATCAAAGAGAACACGACGTAAATCAAATGATAGTAGTAACCATGCATTTTCCTAGGACGCGGGTGTATTCAGGGTTGGTTTGGTTGGACCCCTGTTTCTGCTGAGTTGAGTCGATTCAGGCTTTCCAGCTCCATCTCCAGCGTTGCTTGGTATACACCCAAACCCCTCTCCCCTTGTCAGAGCTTGAGGAGCCACTCTGGGAAAGCTTATGTCGGAAGAATTGATGTGTATCACCCGCATTCTCATGAATCAAAGACAGCAGTCTGAGAAGATCAGAGATTACCTCTATTGAACAAAGCGGAAGACAGTATCACTGATGGAACCGTTTTTGTAAGCTCAAGTGGATCCTTTCTACGATCGCTTTTGCTGGAACTGACCGGGAGATCTCTCCAAATGAGCGTGAATCGTGGAGCAAATCAGGGAAGATCCAAGTGGGGCCGCGTAAAAGAAACAAGATCGAGATGTGTATCCTTTGAGCACAAAAGCCTACATTGGAAGGAGATATGGAGGTCTGAAGTTGCAGTTGGAGAAATCAAAAACTACTTCGCCAGACTAGCCCAGATAAGGTTACACGCCTCGGCCGCCGAGTATGGTACAGAAGAAGAAGTGCTCCGTGGAACAAGCTTTTGCAGAGGTGTCTAGGGGGTGGGTGGCCCTGTCAACAAGCACTTCACCCCGAACATCGATTCTTACATGGGTCTCGATTCGGACGTTTTTAGATGGGAAAAAAGTGGCTCAACTCTGGCTTTGACAACCTTCTCTGCTCACGCATCAAGTTCAAGCTGCAGCGAGCACTAAGCTTTTGTTGTTGGAAACCGGAACATTTTGACAAGAGCCACAGACAATAGCGTCATGTTTTGTGCCAGAAAATGAAAAAGTGGTTGGAAAAGTATGTGATGATCGGGATGAAAGGCTAAGAGAGCTCTAGTTGTCAATCATCACTGACAGGGTTACACTGTAACTCGTAGTATCAGGATGCTCTCGTCTGCAACACTTGTGTGAAAGTTATCCCGGTGGACCGTTTTACAATGAGTAAGTCTTCTCCCTATAAGGCCCTATAAGTCACAACCACATTTGCCCTCAACCACTCAACCAAACACTTTG